GGGGGGGGGCACAGATCTGAACGTCATGGCGGTCAGTCGTCAGCCGGCGGATCCTCAGGTCCACGGCGCCCGTCCGCTTGAATTCCAAATAAAACTTGATCTGACGTCTAATAAAAATCTGTACATTTTTCTTTAAAGTCTCCATGATTAGTTGTCCAAAGGGGACGTTTTCCATTCATTTACTCATCTACCTTTAATCCTTATACTCATTAAATCTTTATCTGCTCTTTAATTTAGATGCTCTGAGTCCCGTCATGTGTGTGTGTGTGTGTGTGTGTGTGTGTGTGAGTGTGTATGAGAGAGGGAGAGACGCCCCCCTCCCTCCCCGGCCGTCTGTGGGGGGGCTTCCAGTTTGTTAGCAGCACTTTTTCTTCCTTTTACTGTTCCGGGTGAGTTTGACCACGTCGTTCTGTTGCTGCTGCTGCTGCTTGGCCAGCACCTCCTTCTTGGCTCTTAGCACCAGCTCTGTGATGCAGTTAAACATCTGCGGGAGACGAGAGACGTTTAGAGCCCGAAAGCCTTCAGAGGACGGAGGCAAACGTCTCCACAAATGAATCAAAATTATCAAAATGCGGATAATTAGCTGATAAACTGAGATATCACTTATCAACCATATTCCACCTATAATCTAAAAGAGTCCATTTATGCTTTATATTACAATTTATCTACTAAACATTTATTACTGTTTTTACCTTCAGATTTACTTCCTTTCCCTATTTAAAAAAACTTAAATTTGAACCACCGTTTTTAAGCCTGAAACACTTCAAATTCCTGCCTGGTATGTTTAGGTGCTGGTGGAAAGCTGGGAAATCTGGCTTTCTGTCCAGCAGAGTGTCCGATTTCTCCGTACTTATTTATGATTCAGGAGTAATGCGTTTCTTCAGCTTACTCAGATGTTAGCCTAAATTCCAATAGCTCATCAATGCCTTTATTATCCATATTTAGAGTCTAGCGGATACGTATATGTTATTGCATCTGCTGGGGCCCAGAGTCAGAACCAAACAGGGGGATGCTTCATTTCAGTTTCTGCTTCTAAAATCTTCAGCAGTCTTCCTGAAGAGGTGAGACAGGCCTCAAATATGAATGTTTAAATCCAGGCTGAAAACATTTATTCAACTGAATGTGCAATTTAACTGATCTGAACCCTTCACTTTTAATCCATTCAATTAATTCAGTAGATTAATTTTCTTTTTTTCTTTCTTTTCTGCTTTTAAACTTTTTGATTGAAAGGAGCTCCCAGAGCCCTCCCTGGTGCTTTAGCAGGTTTGGGCATCATGTGCTGTCTCTGTGTTAGAGGCGTCCTAACTGAATCACCTCCTCCACGTTGATGTTCTCCTTTGCGCTGGTCTCAAACAGGCTGATTCCCATCTGCTCTGCAAACTTCTGTGCGTCAGCCGTCTCCACCACTTTGGAGTTCGGGTCGTCGTTCTTGTTTCCCACTGAAAACAGAAACGTTTATTTTTATTTTTTTAACTTTGGAGATCTTTGGAGCTCTTTGGCGTGAGGAAGAGGAGGAGGCGGCTCACCTAATATTCGGCACACGTCGTCACAGTTCTGGTTGATTTCATGTAACCATCGTTTGACGTTGACGAAGGACTCGGCGCTGGTGACGTCGTAGACCACGATGACCCCGTGCGTCCCCCTGTAGTATCTGAGGACAGAGAGGGAGGATTTAAAGCTCAGCTCCTCGCATCCATCACAGCTGGGCGTTTCCCAGCAGAGCTCTTCTCTTTCAGACAGCAGGTCTACTTCTTGTTCCTGAGTTTTTAAAGCAGAATGGGAGGTGGAGCCTTCAGGTATCAGGTTCCTCTCTGTGGAACCAGTCTGGGTTCAGGAACCAGACCCCCCCACACCTTTACGATCAGGCTGCAGACATTCCTTTTTTAATCATCAGGGATGGCTTCCTGTTAAAGGGGAGTTTTTGTCCCCACAGTGGCCTGTTGCAGCTCATGACGGGGATCAGAAAGGTTTCCGTCTAATCTGTTGGTGTCCTTTGGACTAATAAACTGAACTAATTTGATTGATTGGACTGTTGACTGGGCTTTATGAATAAATTGAACTTGAACATACATAAGTTACAAATTCTATCAATCAGATGTCTCAAGACTTTGAATGGATCAAGTCGGAACACTAAGTGGCTCTCAGTGGGTTTAAGTTCTGGACTTAGTGTTGAATAATCCTCCCAGAGACTGAAGGGTGGGGGAGATGATGTCTGGGAGCCCAGATTAAACAAACTGAAGCATCCACAGAGTTTTGGGGTTTTTTTCTAGTACAGAGAAATTAATTTGATGGAAGGTCTTATACAGTTAATCCTAAAAAAAACCCAACACATTCACCTTAAATCTAAATCAAATACAGCGTGTGCATATGGATGTTTGACCTGTATGAAACAGTTCATGGCGGCACAGGAAGACTTTGAGAATTGAATTTTTTTAAAGATCAAACTCTTTAAAAAAGCTCCCTTCAATCTAAATCAGGCGTTTTGAAGCAGGGAAACGTCTAAAACCTGCAGGACAGCAAAGTTTGAGATCCCTATATATGAAAAGAATCCCAATATAAAAAAATAAATAAAAAAATCGTAGAAATCTGCTTTATAAATAAAAATGAAAGGACATCTGAGACATTTCAAGCCGAAGGCCACAAGAGGGTGACAGTTGCCAACCGGTAAGTGATCCAGGTGATCACCTGAATTTTTTAAAAAGTGAAAACAAAGAATTTTTGGGTCGCTTTGTGCCAGGCGAGTCCATATGTGTTCCTGGAGGGACACCAAGCTGCAGGTTTTGGGACGGTTAACCGATTCAGACCAGACACAGCCACTGGAATCAGGTGAGAGGGAGCAGAAAACATCTAAAAACCTGCAGGACAGCAGAGTCTGAAAATAACTAAAACTACACAGGGACCGGCCCAGGGGTCACCGCCAACAGCCCGGGGGGTGCAGCCCATGGCCCGGGGGGTGCCAGCATCTGGTCCACACCGACAGCGAAGCGGCACCGAGGACCCGGAAAGGGAGCGTCCTCTCCCAGAGAGGCTGCTCTGAGCCAAACCACCACAAAGGTGCTTTTGTCGGGCTGACTGTGTGTGCATGTGTGTGTCTGCCTGGCATGACAGCGTGGGGCTACAGCCCCAAAGCCCGGGAGGGGGGGGGGGGCACAGATGACCCTAAACTCCACAACACACAAAGGGGCGAGCGAGGCCCAAACCGACAAAAAGAGGGAAAAGGTTTAAGTTATCGACATGTAAACAATACAGACTGCATACAACTAAAACATAAATAAGGAAGGTAGAATGATTAAATGTGTCATATGTATGAAGGAAATACTTTTCAAAGCTGATGATTTATGGAGTAAAATAAAACATATATACATAAAATAGATTTCATTTAAAAAAAAAATGAAAAAGGGGGGCCCAGTCAGTCAGGCTTTAAAAATGTTGTTCAATGCAAGTTAAAGGAGGTCTCCAAGTTCTTTTAAATGAACTTCAGGAGCCGTTGAGGGAAAGTCTGAGCTTTTCAAGCTCAACCGTTAGCATCACCGCCCTCAGCCGTCTGCTAGAAGACGGAGGATGATGGCGGCTCCACTTAAGAGGTATGACTCTCCACTCTTTAATAATGTTTCCTGTCATTTTCTAACCATCTGGGCTGTGTCCTTCACGCCTCAAACTCCACACATGGGAGTCAGAGAGTAGTCTGTTAAGCCAGGCTTCCCCCTCAGAGGTCTTTTTTTTTCTGCTAAGTATGCTGCAGCTGAATGGTTTGATATGCGGCCACCACCTCAGGTTGGTCCTGCGTGGAGGGAAATTTACTTAGGATGTAATGAGGCACCACACCACTCCACTTGGTGGCTTAAATGGGCGGCCTGTTCGGCGGAGGGATTCCTGCAGAGCATCTGGCGACGGCGTCACTAAACTAGGACGCTCATGCTCCTCAGGGCCTGCGGACGGATCAGCGCTGCTGACGATTTCACGCTCTCTGGAAGCCTTTGATTCGCCGTTTTCTGAGAGCTGCTGCAGAAACGGGCTCCCGGCCCGGCCCGGTCCGGTTCAGCGTCTCTACGGGCTCCAAAGTCACACAGAGGTGACTGCAGTCTGTCTGCAGGTCACATCGCTGCCGTTTCCCTTCCCAGAAAGGAGTCCAAAATGAAGCAAACAGCTCAGAGCCCCCAACCAATCACACAACAAACTGCGTTTTGTTTATCTAAATGTTTTGGATTCTTGGCCTTCCTCAGATTATTGTGTTGAGTCAGTGAATGCAGTCATGCAGGGAAAGCTTTAAGGTTGCAGACGCATCGAAACGAGTAACGACCCGGAAAACACACAAACTAAAAAACAAAAATAAAAGCATTCCGTTAAATACTGATTAAAACGAGTGATCGCTGGCTTTTGAGCGACACAGAAAAGCACTCCGACCTACAACAAGTGACTCGTTTTCAGAGCGGCTGGCGGTCAGACACACACCTATCTCTTTAGAGGCTCAGAAGCGGGCAGCTTCTAACCCCAAAGAACAAACACCTTTAAAAAGAGAAAGATACCGTCGATCAATTTTACCTTCACACAAGAGAACAGACAGGTAAATATCAGCCATAGAGCACCGGCGGCAATCAAACAGCTCAGCTATGTCAGGAAATACGGCTTCATGAAAGTTTGGTCCTGCACAGCTTGTAGAATCACTGTGACGTCGTGGAGGATCTTCTCTGTAATTAACCCTCAGACACTGGCGTTAAACACAGCTGTGAGGACTGAGAATGGATTTAATCAGCTCGCTGCTGCAGCTGTACCCACATTAATCAGAAGAGCTCTGAATTTCAATAACGCTGGTTCACGATAAAGAAACTGGGCACAGAAACTGCCACCTGCAATCCAGGTTTAGGAGGAGGGGGGGGGTTCCTTATCAGATAGGGGATCCGGGGGCTTATATTCCCATAACATGCTGTGATTTACTCATACCTAAATGAGCAGAAAGGGTCAGATATCAATCGTGATTCATCACAAAGCGGCTTTCACCTTCATCTAGGGTTAATCAGAGCAGGAACAGGCTTTCATGCTTATTGAACCCATCGGTAGCAACAATCCGTAGCTGATTTAGCCATGGACACTGAGCAGCCTGTTGAGTGTCTGTGGCCTCAGCCAGCAAACGCCTGCCCAACAGCAGAAATGAGCAGTGACAAGGATCGTAAATGCATTTCGATACTGAGAGAAATGTGTCCAGAGAAGACATGGCTCCAGGGGCAGAAAGGAGGATTAAATTTAAACCAATGACGTGTGATTTTGACGCATTTCATCCCGACGAACACAGAGAAAAGAAAAAAAAACTTTTTGTTTTATGGCTGCTTGGACTAAAGTCATGGGTGCCTGAACACGCTCTGCAAATGTGAGCATCTGCTGGGTCATTTCAGACTTTATGTCGCTGACAAAAGTCTCTGGTCTTACTACTTTTGGGGGGGGCTGTAATGGGGTTTCATGATATCAATGTGTTGGATTTAGTCTAAAAAAAAAAAAAAGGATGGTGCTTCCACATTTAAGGAGTAAAAGCCTTTAATTGGGTTGTAAGAGTGTGGAGAAGGTGGATGTTCCATTCCAGGCAGCAGGGTCGTGCACCCGGAGCCTCCCTCCAACATCTGTAATTAGCATCTGCGGGGGGGCGGGGGTATTCCACCCAATTTCACAGAGCAGCACCCACTTACTGCAGCAGTCTGCGAGCTGCTTCCTCATATAATATCTCAGCTGAAGACCACAAGAGAGCTTCTCTTGGTTTCGGCTTTTAATCGCAGAAACAGCAACAAAAAAGAAAAGAGAAAAAAAAAGTCACATAAAATCTGGTTCCACTTACGTGGAAGTGATGGTGCGAAAGCGCTCCTGCCCCGCCGTGTCCCAGATCTGGAGCTTCACCTTCTCCCCGTTGATCTCCACCGTTCGGATCTTAAAGTCCACACCGATCGTGGTGATATAGCTACCTGCAAAAAAAAAAAAAGAAAAAGGCAAGGGGTTTAAAAACAAAGGGGCTCCATGTGATGGGAACATGTAGCTGTCTGAAAGTAGAGGTGGAACCACGCACCTGAAAACGTGTTGTCTGCGAATCGCAGGAGGAGACTGCTCTTCCCCACTCCTGAGGAGGAAGCACAAGCACAGGATGAGATGTAGAGCATAAACGTACCACGACAGGCACAGTTTCTCATCAACGTTCACCTATAAGCTTTAGACAAAGCCCTGCCACCCCCTCTTCTTTCTCTCTCTTGGTGGTTTGAACTACACACCACAGACCCAACTGCCAGTCAGGTTCTGGTTTCACACTTTATGTCCCAGAAATGTTAGCCAACCGCATCAGTGGTTCCCCAAGCTCCTCAACTTTAGGAAATAAAAATAGTTGAACTGTGCAGCAACACAACAAACAAAACAGAGAAAAATCTGTGGGAAAATTAGTTTAAAAAACGAACACAAAACAGGAGGAAGAGGAGTAAAAATGAGAGGGATCTGCCCTCCAGCTGGATGCAAGGCATCTGCAGCCCAGCCCTTTTGTGTTATTGTCATCTAATGTTTGATTGGGCCCTGAAAATTGAAAGCTCTCGGTCTCCTGTGATCTCAGTGTTGTTCGAGCAAACAATGAGCTTCAAAGCAGAAGAGACGTCACAGCGAGCCCTGCACAAAACCAAACATTTAACGCAACAGCCACAGACTCGGCCAAAGTTGTGTAGCCTTTTTGCTTGCCTGAGTGGCAGTAAATAAACACCTACGATTAGATGGTTAACAAAGGATTTTGGGTCAAACAATCTAACTTTGCCATAAGTTGGACATCAAATGAATGAAAATTTGGCTTTCAAAATGTCTCCACTGACACAAAAGGCAAGGAGATCTCTCTCAAGCGATCTGCAGTTGGACTGTCATGTTGGAGATGAGGGAGGAAGCCTGGGGGGGGAGGAGAGAAGGGGGACACTGGGTCCAGTGTGCGATACCCATTGAAGGGCCGGCAGTGCTTCCTTTTCTATGGGGAACAACCAGCTGATGGTGGATTAGTACTGCCAGGATAGGCGCTTTCAGAGAGAGAAAAGATCACGACACACAATGACTAACAGCAGAATGAGGCTCCGCAACCACACAGACTCCAAAGTTTTTTTTCTATCTCTACTCAGATCTACACTGATCTCTGACAGGCATCCACCTGTGGCTTCAGACTGTCATGGGCTGGATCATAATAAAGGAGCTAATGACAGCAAAAGTTACACGTACTCTGCAGCACTTGAACCAAAGAGATGCACTTAACTGTAACACGCATGATCTGATGCTGACCACTTTGTCAGTATCACTTCAGTTTAGTTTGAGTGGCTGGATGAGACCCAACCAGCGTCTGCAGTGCAGCATTCCTCCAGTGAGAAGTAGCTGGACTTTCGTGCTATCAAGCTAACCCACTAACAAACCGCCCCCCAAATTCAGCTATTTAGACCCACTTTGCTGTACTCACATGCTTATATGGCCTGAACTCCACGATTTAAGTACCAACTTCAAAGGCAAACACGTTAATAAGTAGCTTCCGTCATTACAAACCCTGAAACGGTGGTATTAGCTTAGCTTCTAGCTAACCTGCGTTACACATCTAATACGAAATACAAACAAAAGGCCAAAACAGATGATTTTAAGAGCCTCTCGGAGGTGTTTAATGTCTGTTTTGGGGTAAGCTATCATGACTAAACGAATATGTCCCCCACCCCGAAAAAAGATAACAAACAAGTAAACTTCGAGAGGGGAGCCTGGAAGATCTGGAGGCGGTATCCGGCCTGATCGGCTGACATGCCCAGTCCGGACACCCAACCTCCGCCCTGTCACTGGCACAGAAACATGGCGGATGTGTACGTTTCTCAAATGAAATTCATCGCATAAAATGCCAATTGGTATAAAGTGAACCAGCACGGTGGGCATACAGTGGTCCTTTAACCGCCGCTATGCTTATTTCGCGTGTATTTAAAGAAAAAAACACGACGAGGCCCACTTCCCGTCCCGCATCCCCGGTGTGGCCTTACCGCTGTCGCCGATGATGAGCAGCTTGAAGAGGTAATCGTAGTCCCTGGCCATGCCGGTAGCCGTTAGCTCACCCGCGCCTTGTGCCGCTTCTTTCCGTGGTTCGCTGTTCAACTCTCCTGACCCGTGCAATTAAAAAAAATAAATAAATAAATCGCCAGCCCCTATAACTCAAAGACAACGGCCACTACCGAGGCTTCAAAGTGTTAGCCCCCCGAGGCGGTGGCGTTTTTTCTCGGGGTTTCGCGGCGTCAGCAATCCTCTCCCTCCGCTGCAAACAGCCGGAAACTTCGCTTCCTTCTCTGGTGGAGCTGCACCCAAGTATGACCCGGCCCCACTGCGCAGGCTCCAGCCTCAGTCCCGTCACACCGACCAGAACTCCTTCCATGCTGCTTTTAGGGCACTTTTCCACCATCAACTCACAGTAACCACTGACCCAAAATCCACCCAAATTCTTCCGATTCACATTCTGATCGCATATGTTTGGGTCCCGTTTGTAAGATGCAATAGTTAGACTGCTCAAATCTGGGCATAATGATAAAAAAAAAGGCTGTAAATGTAAAAAATTATTTGGGAATTGTGAAAGCTCTTTTTATGATTAACGAAAACAATTTTTTTCTGATTTTTTCACCTCCACATTCTGATCTACCATGCATTTATGGAAAATAGCTTACATACCCTTTTCTAATTTTTCCAACTTCTAAAACGTGTCAAAGATTGTGTATTCAGAATAATCATGTCCAGATTAGAGTTGTCAAACGACATTTGTTTCCAGATGTCTAAAGCGATTAGACTTTTCTGCATTTTCACAAATCAGAAAATAATTTTTAATATTCCAAACAAGGTATTGAGGAATCTAAAGCCCCCTTTAAATAACCATGTCCCAATTTGAGCAATCCAAGTATATCAGTTTCCTTATGGAAGATTTTAAACTGATCCAATTATGGAAAAAAAGCATCAAACTGACCCTTTTTCACATTTTCATAAATCAGAATATTCATAAACTTAAAACAAAGTATTAATAAATCTAAATCCCTTCTATAATAATTATATCCAGATTTGAGCAGTCTATCAATTGTAGTTTCTATACTGAACCTGAATTTATTTAATAAGGATGTAAAAAATAGTGTAATATAGTTCAGAAGCTGTCAAGATTCACCAGTCACAGGTTAACACGTCCACATATGAAATGAAACATTTCTCCAGTACAATTAGGGCCTCTATTATCCCCTCATGAGACAAACTAAGAAGAAAACAGCATCAAAATATTTCACAAGCGTCAAGAAATCAAGTTGTTTTTTTTTATTTCATTTTGCCTTTTTACAACTCTTTTTTTCAAATCACAGATAAGAATGATTTGTCTTCCGATGAGAGTTTGCTTTCCCCAAAAACGACACTCTCTCACACATACAAAGTCCAAATAAAAGTTAAAGACAGGGGTGCCGGTCAATTTCAGGGGCATGTTGCGTGCTTGAAATCGTTTTGGTAAAATAAGTAGTAAAACACTTAGATATCAAACGGATTTGGCTTTGCGTCTTCCTAATGGAGGGTTGTGCAGGAGAGAGCCCTGCACATCGCAAGGTAAAAGAAATGAGTAAGAAACTGGGATCAAAGGCCGCTAAAATAATGAAATGTAAACTAAGAGGGAGAAAAAAAAGAGGAAAAAAAACGCTGTAATTAATACAGTATGTGTGACCATCCGTCAGAACAACCCATCTCAGCCTCTGCTCGTGCAGGGCAATGGGAGCATGTGTGATGAGCGTTTTGGGCTCTCATACTGAGGAAATGTTAGTCAGTCAAGCTCTTCTTGACCTTTCTTGGCAGATTTAATATTCTTTTCAAGTCCCTGTTTCCTCATGTTAAGATGGTGTCATCGATTTCCTCGTTGGAGTCTTGCATGCTGGCGATTTTCTTCAGCGACCGGCGGTGGCAATCTGACAGCAGGTCGTTGCTGGCAGAGTCCAGGATGGCAGTGATTCCCTGAGAGGGAGGAAAGGGGTTGAAAAACCTGGGGGGGTCGGGGCCAGAGGCCCATGGGACCGGCGTATGTCCGAAGCCTCACCTGCATGGTTTCCTCGCCTTCGCGGAGCCGCAGCAGGTTGACGATGGTGTGCTCGCTCTGGGCTCGGACGGTGGTGTTTTTGTCCTTGGTGTTGTCCAGCAGGCTCTTCAGCAGCGGCTTGATGAGGCCCAGCTCCATGGAGGGGGGCGACGGCTCTCTGAACACCCACCACAGCACCCGCTCCGACACCAGCCTGATGTCACTTGACTGGTTCTGAAGACACTGTGGGGGGGGCACACGTGGCACATTGCTGACCCCACATCCACAACGAAAAGGCCAAGAGCCATTCAAAGTATTCATCCTATCACAAACCAGTTAGCTTGTGCCTGGTGAGGCATCACAGGGACATTTTCTAGCTCCTTTTGGGGTGATTCAAATCCAAAAAGGGATTTAGGATCCTGTCTGACCTCCTCCCAGCTGGACACACCTGAAAACCTCCACAGGGAGGCAAACGGGAGGCCTCCCAACCATGAGAAGAGGTCAGCAGCCTCATTCTCTGGCCCATGACCAGATCTGTGCCCACAGGTGGGACAAAGAATGAGCTGCACTTTAAGTCTATGGAGGCTGTCGCCCGCTGCTCTGCACACACATGGCTGCTCCTGTTCGACACAAAGCCCCTTTTCTGACTGGTTTTGGGTTGTTTTTGCCATTCAAGTCAAGTTAAGCACAGCGGCCCTAATGTTCCCGGTTGTTCCTGTAACTTTCTGTGTTGATAACATTTTAGCTAGAGATTCTGAAAACCTGAATCCACTTCTGAGACCATTCTGCCCCTTTGACATGCTGCTTGACCGCCTTCCCATCGGAAAAACTTATAATTTATCTAGCATGGTGGATTTTAAGATGGGCATAACCTAAAATATAAGCCCCCTCATCCGTCTCTTATTCAGATATGTCATTTCCCCTTTTGCTCCTGAAATAAAACTGTGTCCTGTGACTACTGACTCACCCTCTACACAGGATTACATCTTTCCCTCCAGTTCCAACAGGTGTGTTCTGTTAATCTTTACATTTGGCCACAGGAAATGGCTGGTAAAGGTCAGTTTAGTATTAGATTTGCAGCGCAAACAGGCTCTGACCTTCACAAACTGCGTGATGAAGCGCTGTGAAACACTGCCGGCTCCCTCTGTTTTCAGATGATGCCTCATTAGGTATCCCATAGCTCGGATCCCACTGGTAGCAATGGGAATCTGGAAGAGGAGACACAGAATGGGAGAATAGAAGAAGGGAAACGGTGAGAGATGCGGAGATGCAGCCTAAACTCACAGGATTGGGTTTGGATCTCAACATGCTACATTCAGGCTGAAACAATGACACAAATGTAACTTTCTTTTTAACCCATCAACCTATATCCGTTTTTTTTCTTCATTTTTGGTCCAAAATCAGGTACATGTCTGATGCTTTTTTACTTTAACGTCCCTAAAATGAGACAGATGTGAGACTAAAGGAGTTGTGTTTCTTCCTTCCCTGAAATGATGAAGTCCCACTCTGCTTCCACAGAGGATCCTCATTACAATTCATGCTCTCCTTATCAGTCTGCAACTGTCTGCCTACCTGCTCCAAGCCTGGCTAATATTTGCTGATAGTTTAGGTCTAAAAAAAGGGAAATCTTCAGATGTTGGGGTTCAACATTGTTTAATAGCCAGAAGTAGAGACTTTAAATGTAAAACAAGGTTCTCCTTTGCAATATTTATAAATTAGGAACATCCTCTAAGAGCGATGCAGAAAAACTGCTCCATGCAAGGCAGGACTACTGTAAGTCTTAATTATTTTTCTGTTCCTAAGAATATCTCTGAAAGCCTCCAGCTGATCCAAAATGCTGCAGCCAGAGTCCTGAGAACAGAACCTGAAGTTCTTCTCTGAGTGAGCAGCTCCATCACAGCTGGGTGTTTCCCAGCAGAGCCCTTTGCTCTCAGACTGCAGCTCTACTTCTGGTTCCTGAGTTTTTAAAGCAGAATGGGAAGCAGAGCCTTCAGGTATCAGGTTCCACTCTGTGGAACCAGTCTGGGTTCCGGAACCAGACCCCCCCCTCTACCTTTAAGATCAGGCTGCAGACTTTGCTTTTTGGTAAAGCTGATGGTTAGAGATGCTCAGGGACCCTGAAACATCCTATAGTTGTGCTGCTATAGGCCCAGACTGCTGGTTGGGCTCCAATGATGGACCTCTCCTCCCTCTGCCATCTTGGCCTGGTGTCATGGTGCTGGTCAGCCCCTCTTTCAAATCCTCTCAGCCGGACCAGAAACATGGTTCCGGTTCTGATGGAGATTTTTTCCTCTTTTTTTCTTTCCACAGTCACATCTTGCTTGTTAGCTTGGTACTTTTTGAAAAAAAGTTTAAAATGGCTCTGTATAAATTGGGTGTTTTTTAAGCTTAATGAACTGGAATTGGACTTGTAGAGTGTTTCCCAGAGTTTCTAAAAGTCCAAATATGTGATGAAACCTCCAGTGAAGGAGCTGTGTTGATCCAGCCAGCAGAAACAGTCCACTGTTAAGGCCTGTCTCCTCTCCTTTAGAGCAGAAACCCCGTCGGCTGCTGGACACTCACCCTGTCGGCTGTGGCGTTGGCTAAAACGGCCTCAGTCACAGTGTCGCAGTACTCCTTCCCACACAGCTTCTCGGGAGCAGACTTGACAGCGATGGCCAGAGTCAAACTGCGGCCGTGACGCACCATCCAGTCCACACCAGACACATCGGCTGAGGAAGAGAAACGTGTCATTTGACTTTTTCTGCACACACAGAGACTCTTTCTAAAGGGGTGGGGGGCTTTTGCTCATCATGACAGGCCTCACTATAAAAGCCTTTGCAGAGAGGGTATGAAAATGACATTGTGCTTCTTATTTAGAGAGAAAAAGGGCGGCTTGTTTGGACTAAGCCTTAATACAAACCTAAGACGTGCTGAAGCAACACGCTCTTTAGCTCCTCCTCAGACAGGAAGGCACACAACTCCCCAACACAGCCAGCTGAGGCCAAGCGGGTTGCATCCTGCACACGCACACACACACAGATATGTGTCATTTATTTTCAAGTGCTCAAAACCACCTTTTCAGAAAGCCACATCCTCTGTCTGACTTCCGTTTTTCTGCTGTGATCGCAGACTAAATGACACCTCAGGCTCAACCTCTGCGGGGCTGAAATCCAGCGCTTGCTTCAATCTGTTCCAGGGCTCGGTAGCTCCTGCCGACCCCAGAGCCAAACAAAGGATGTGCTGCCACAGGTTTGGTCTCCACATACCTCGTCGTGTCCCAGCATGCCTAGCAATGTGGTGGTGATGTTCTTGCGAATGGCTGGGTCCACCTTGGACCCGGCCCCCTGGATGACAAAGCGCAAGGCTTGGAGCATAGTCTCCCTGAGGAAATAAACCCCAAAACATCAGCATTTACTCAACAATAATCCCAAAAACAATTGTGAATCAAAGCACTGAAGGGTTCATGTGTGAAGAGTGAAAGGTGGTCAGAGGCCTGTATTCCCCTCTAAGTTATGCAAACACACACTGGCTTCAACAATGGCCTAACAATGGCTTTGAGACAGAAATTGCCTCCCAAAGCCCACAGAGACAAGTTAGATTTAATACAAAACCATCATACTTGATACACACGGTTTCTGAAATAAAATGCATCTGAGACATTTTGCATGATTAAACGGTGAAAACTTTGCCCCAAACCCTGTTGTGCACAGTCAGATAACAGCAGGCCGGAGACCCCACAACAATTATTTTGACTTTTCACACAGATATAAATGGTAAAAATTTAAAAAATGATTTCTGTTGATTCTTTTTTATATTTTCTTAATTTTCTTTCCATTTTTCTTGGGTCAGGCTTTAAAGAGTTAAGATAAATACAGTTAAATTGGACCTTTACAACGCCACCTGGTGGACAAATGGTGTAACTAAGGTGTGTTTAGCTCTCATATGACTGTGTGGGAAAGGTTTGATGCTGAAATGAATACTGGGGGGTGGTTTCTAACCTGACTCCTGAGTCTTCAGCGTTGCGGATGGCGGAGAGCTGCTCTGTGAAGAGCGGGTCCACCTTAGCGTGGATGGAAACCAGCTGACCCAGAGCCTCGGCGGCCCTCAGCCTCACCGCCCGGCTGGAGTCCTGCAGGGCCTTCAGGAAGGTGGTTTGCAGCTGCGGCAGGAAGGGCTTCAGGGCGATTCCCACCTGCGGGGGGACGGGGGAGGGCTCAGCTTAGGCTTCTGACTCCAGCATGCAGGGTTTCCCTGCTGCCTCCTCAGAGAGATGTGGTGCTGTACCTTAGCCAGCAGCAGTGTGAGAGTCTCCAGCAGGGCGGTCTTCACAGTCCAAGCAAAGCGGTCTCCCAGGATTCGAATCAGGGGTCCAGTGATGTTGACGACTGAGGGGCGCAGAGCCTCGGGAGAGGTTAGCTTGATGACTCCTCCTAAGGCTTTGGCCGCCTCTTCTTTCTGCTCGGGGCTTCCGGTCAGGACGCCCTCTCTGAGGACGGGCAGGATGCAGGTCACCCCCTGTGCAAAGGCAGAACATGAAGATAAATCGATAAAAACGTTCACATGCATCACTCTTAGTTATGGATGGTTGTTTTTCTCTCCTTTCTGACAGTTTCTCTTGTTATTAAGTCCGACAGAGTTTTCCAGCTGTTCCCACAGACTTGCTCTGGAAGAAACATTTGTGTAACCAGTCTTAGAATCTCCAGAATCCAACATGGACTTTGTCTTGGCTTCTCCATCAGCTCCAGTCCTCCAGGTGTTGGTGGGTGTCTGCAGGCCTCAGCTCTGCTTCCCTTCTTCCATCAGTCGTTCTGGAGACTTCTTTAAACTCTGATCCAGAAGTGTTCATCTCTGACTAAAGATCAGCAGGTCTTCCTTCTGTCTCTGCTCCTTCATATCTGCTGCAGCCAACTTTTTCTTGTAGTTGTATGTGTGGTGAGAGTTTATCTTGTGTTACTTTGTGGCATTTATGGTTATTTTCTATGTATTAGAGGTGTTTTAGTTTAATTTTTAACCATATTTTGACTCAGTGTTTTGTATTGTGTATTTTCTGTTAGTTTAGTGAATAATAGATCAAACTTTTGTGGTAGTTTTCTGTTTTTTTATTTATTTTTTCTCTCTGTGGTGGTTTTGGAAGTCTTTGTGTCTATTTGTCAAGCTTTTGTATGTTATTGGTAAATGTTTTTCATATTTTTCCCTGCAGTGTGCACCTCTCTGGTTTTTTTTTTTTGTGCATTTTTGGAACAACCTCTCTTTATGGCTGCTTTACGTAGCCATAAAGAGATCTATCTATGTATTTTGGGAGATTTATTTAGTCCTTTGTTAGTTTTGTGTAGGGTTGTCACGATACTAAAATTTTCAACTCGATACCGATACTCAGGAAAATACTCGATACTCGATACCATTTTCGATACCACAAGGATAAAAACAAAGAGCCTAAAATTTAACTGAATTGTGTCTTTCATTTCAAACTGACATGTTACTGATGTTATCGTGACTGGTGGCCCACATTGATAACCCTAACCCTAACCCTATCCCTCCAGCCTTCATAATAGTGAGAAATAAATATTTTTTGGTTAAACTTGTTTGGACTTATTGTACAAACCTATTTAACATCCACTATTTTAACATAATATTATGGATAGAGTTTAACTCAGTGTTTGCATTACTTTCACTATTTTTAAATTAATGTCTATATTGCCATGAAACCATTAGGATTTTCTTGCCTGGGATCTTTCTATTGGTGACCTAATCAAAACGTCCGATTTGGATGTGGGCGGAGTTAGATATGTACTTGATTAATGTTAGCATGTTATTATTAGCCATTAGCCGCAGCTAGCAAGGCTAACGTCTTGTTAATGATCATAAACAACGTAAATAAATATATAAATAAATCAGAGAGAAGGGGCGCAGCGACGGCAGGTCAGCGTCGCGCGGGCTCGCGCGGTGGTATCGATACTTTTGAAAATGAGTATCGTATCCGGATACAACATTTTAGTATCGATACTTTTTCGAGTATTGATACTTTTGACAACCCTAGTTTTGTGTCAGTATTTTACCATTTTCAGCTAAATCAGGAGTACAAACCGAGTTCTTCCTGTTTTTCTCCTCATATTTCCGCTTCAGACATTTCTGTTCTGTAATAAGCAGGATAAAAAAGCCACCAAATCTAAATTGAAAAGAACGAAAATCAGCAGTGTTTTTACCTTTTTGGGCAGGCAGAAGCCCGGCAGGTGCTGACCCCTCACATCTGCAGCCACTGACCGAATGTCTCGATGCAGGTCGTCGATCAGAGCCAGCTGGCTGCTGGCGTCCAGTTTCTACAGCAGAGACAAGCAGCTGTGAGTTTGCAACCGCTTCAGATGAAGAAACGATCACATTTCAGACCGCTGCTGCTTGTTTCCGTGCTGATGGGCAGGGGAACCATGGGGTGGGCGCACCTTGGTGATGGAGTTGATGGTGTCCCAGCTCTGAGACAACACATCTGGGTTGGAGTCATTCAGGAGCCGGATAAGGCCTGAAAGCAGCGTGCGTGTGTGCATGCTGTAGTCCAGCCGGGTGCGAGCGAAGTAGGCGTTGAGGATGGTGGCGGCGGCCTGTCGGAGGCCCGGGTCGCTTCCTCGCGTTGCCTCCAGCAGGTCTTCGATGATGATGCGCTGGCCCACCTCATCCTCCACAGAGAGGATCACCGTCTGGCAGCTGCACAACTCCTGAACCACACAACCAAGAGACCCGACACGTACATTTGTCTGCTGGTCTGTGCTGGGGCGACAGGCTGGACACCCGCTGCCTGTCCTCTGGTACACATCTGAAACCAGTGGATCAGCCAGGGCTCTGTTCAAGCTTTGAACACCGTCTCAATTTGCACATTTCTAGTTACTTTTGAGTAATCATAACCAACTAAATAACCAACTAAATCAAACTCTTCCTGCTTCCATGAAAGTTTTGTGAGCCTTATGAATCTGAAAGACGCTGGAAGGAAGAGTCTGATATGGGAAACGACACTGGTCTGCAGATGTGCTGGTTTCAAAAGTTCAAATACTTCCTCTAATGATGTCCCCTGTAGGGACAGTAAAGCTTTAAACCTCATAACAAGCCCTTTAAAGGTTCAAAATGAGTAGTTACAGCTGAGCATCTCAGCTTTGGAAATGCTGCATAACAACAGCAGCTTCAAACACAAACACAGCCAGCCAGTTTTCTGTGTGTGGAAAACCAAAGAATTACCATGACTTAACATGCAGGGTGGGAATTGCGTGAAAAGACACACACAAATCCAAAGTTTATCAAACACATAATTATCAGCTGAGGCTTAGTTGGCATGGGAAACAGTGGCAGGAGTCACCTAGAGGGGGCTGTGTTTGCAAACATGGCGATTCTTACATGTAAAGTGTCTATTTTTTGTGATCTAGAAATCCTTCATACTGCATAATTGCAACCTTAACCTCTTGAAAAATAAAGGAAATTTAAGGCACATTTTCTTTGAAGAATCACACACCAAATTAATTTACTCTACATTTAGCTTATATGTCTGATACAAAGTTTGTTAATAGTATTCAATTTTAATCACAGTTTGCCTGAATTAATTGGTTTGTAACCACACACTAACGGCTGCTATGCGATGATGGGTTTTTCTGGAAAGCTGACGTCTTGGATTTTAGATTTCGGTGTTAAAAAGGGGAATTAAAATAGAAAGCAGGTTTCAAATGGAAGTAAAGCTGGATTGTTTTAGTTAAAATCATAGCTGGAGGTCATGATTATTCTCCCAGGAAGCAAAGAGGAGGAACACAATCCAGTTGGATGCACATCCTTAAGCACAAGCAGTTCGATCGCAGCACAGAAAGATTGTGTTTTTTTCTACCTGTGCTTCTTCCTCTGTTCCCAGTTTTCCTTTCAGCGAGGAGAGCAGGGCGGGCAGGATGACCCCGAGGTGGCGAGTCAGGGCGTCCCCAGCCACGGCTGACAGGAAGGCCAACACGCGGGTGTTCACTGGAGGAGAGGTGAGCTGGAGCAACCACAGAGGACGGTCAGTTTAACCACAGCCATGGGCCAAAATCTGGAAAAAGCCGTCTGCTGTTCCTGTTCTTGTACCTTTGGCACCAAATACGGCAGCACGGAGCGGCTCTTCACCGCCATGACCTGCTTCAGGCCGTCCAGAGCGAACTCGGCCGTCTCCTGGTCGTCCTGAAACGCACATTCAAGTTACATGGAGCATTTTCAAGGCTGATTTCTGAGTCAGATGCAGTGTTCGGAAACTCACCAGCTGCTTGAGCAGGGTGGGCAGGATGTCGTCCAGTGCCTGGTGACCGATGGTGGCGTGCAGCTGCTCAAAGGTTTTGGCTGCCGCCTCTCTGACCTCCTCCAGAGGGTCACAGAGAGCTTTCCTCACAGTGGGGACCAGGGACTCGGAGAAGACGAGCACCTTAAGATGAAAAAAACAGGTTTAAAGCACTTTAGACTTAAAGACTTAGACTTTATTTATCCCTTGGGATGACTCTTTCGTGGATATTCATGTTCCAGCAGCTTAATAGGACAGAAGTAGCAAAAAGAGGGGAAAAAGGAGAAAAGGCTAAATTCCACATTTCATTACAAAATTACAAAATCGGTAGAAACTATAATATACACTCAAAACCACTTATGTAAAACTAAAATAAGTAGAACTGGGGGTTAATATATCAGATCATCAATGGCAACACAGCACATTAGATTTGGAGACTATACTGTTGGAGGATCTTGACTTTTGATCACACTCAGACTCAGAAGCCATTTGGAGATAATGTGGTGTTATGAATGTAGATTGTATTTTTGTTTTGTCCAAAAAATTAAAACAATTTTGGGAGGCTGTGCATCAGATAATCATTAAGATTCTGGGTTTTAATATACCTAGGACATGTGTACTACTGCACCTGGGAAATATGTCAAGCAATCTAGCATTAAAAATGTCATATCTACTGAAAGAAAGGAATCAGAAGAAAATGGTAAAAAGCCGACCTTCCAACACAGCATGACTGGCAAAAAATTGTAAATTAGGTATATGAAATGGAATTGTTGACACATAACCTAAAACCTCAAGAAGAGCTATGTTGAGACAAATGGAAGAAAATATAGGGCAATAACATGGGAACAAAACTCTGTTCTTTTTTTCTAAATGCTTATGTTTGCTTGTTTCCTCTTTTTTTCTTCCTCCCATATAACTATTTACTTCTTTAAAAAAGAAACAATAAAAAGAAAGTGTTAAATATATAGAATTTGCACTCTAAACCTAACCATAAAACTGGAAAACTTTGGAGTTTATGTACTCAGTTGAAGCTCAGACCGGCCAGGAGCCGCATCGCTGTGACTCACCGCATCTTTGCTGGTGGACTTCATGATCTCGCTCAGGCCGATGCAGACGCCCTGTCTCTCGTCGCTCTTGTCTGACCGCAGCCCTTCCTCCAGGATGGGAATGATCTCGGGGAGGATCTTCTCTCCGAGCTTCCTCACCAGGTCCCCCAGTGTCCGAGCAGCGATCTAAAGCCAGTCAAGCCAGTGAGAGGCGGTGCCCAGGGAGGCAAAAGCAGAGCAGCACTGAAGGAAAGGGGGAGCTACCGTTCTCTTGTCGGGGCAGGTAGAGGCCAGGAAGCCAAGCAGCAGAGAGAAGAGCGTTGGGAGGATCTCCCTCAGAGTTCTGGGGGTGTTGGACACAACAATCTTCCACACGTGGAGGGAGGCCTGTCGAACCACCAGCTGGGTGTCTGAGCGGCCCATGTAGAGGCCTGAGAGCACGCGGTTACGCCGCTCGGCGCCCAGAGCAGAAATGATGGCCTATGGGGGCAAGAGGTCAGAGGTCACACATGACAAACCAGAGGATTCAGCTTCTCTGGACCCCGAGATTAAACTAAAACTAGTCGTACTTTATTGGATGCGGCCGTTCCAAAGTTGTCGTCCTCGGAGGCGGTTTCTGTGGTCATTTTGCCCGTTACCCCGGAGATGTGGAACAGCAGGTCTCCCAGCAGCTGCACCGAGCTGAACCTGCAAAGCAACGAGGGCAGAGGTCAGCGGCCCGTCTGCGGCCATCCCGACCACTAAAGCTCCACGGGGTCTGACCTGATCCTCCACAGGTCGTCGAACAGGCCCTGCTCCAGCTCGGGGAGCAGCAGGGCGATGGCCGTCTCTGCATACATGCTGATGATCCGCTGGCCGGCTCGCAGTGCCGTGTCTCTGACATACTCGTTCTCGTCGGCCAAAGCCTAGAGGATGATCAGTAGCTCAACATTAGGGTCAAAAGGTCAGCCGGAGGTAGAAAACCTGAGTTTGAATCCTCTTTACGCCACCTTGAGGATGCAGGGGATGATGGGCCCGACGTAGGGGGTGAACTTGTCTCCAAAGGTGAGCGGCAGGTAGATGAACATCATGATGTAGCCGTCTCTGACGTGCGACGCAATGTCCACCTTGCTGGCAGTCTGCACCACGTCAGGCATCAGCTTGTCCAGCTTCTCCACTCCCAGCCCGGCCATGACCTCAGCCAGCCCTGAGGGCAGCAGCGCAGAGGTCACTCAGCGGCTGATGGAGCCAAACGGGTGCAGGACGGGCCGGGGAACTCACCCTGTGCGGCGCCGGAGCGGTCCACGGAGCTCTGCTCGGACGCCAGCGTCTCCATGAGCCAAGGCAGCAGGTCGTCGAAGCAGGACTCGCCCATCCCCTTCACCATGGCGCCTAGAGCCTTGGCCGAGACTGTTCGGACCTGGATTAGAGAGGAGACAATTGGATTCAGGTTCATGTTTCCACTGCAGAGCTAATGACATCATCAGGCCTTCTTTAGGGGGCTTCAGTCGCCCTAAAATGACCGGGAACCACCTGAAAATCCTACATTTATACAGGTTATTGGCTTTGAAGCTGCCGGCTATGTTGGACAAATCCATGGTGGATCGTCCAACAAAACTCGCTCCAGGTTCAGTCTCCTCTGGTCCAACAGCACCCTGTTCTGTGGTTCTGAACCGACCAAACAGTGGCTGAAGGACAGAGCTACGTGCTCATATGTGACATAGATTGGGGTAAGTTAGAATATGAGACAGCTCCATGTGATTTTGAGGAGTTTAAAGGGACGGAATAATGCTTTTATAGCAAAAAAAGGCTGTTTTAACCGGGTATTTGATGTTATGTGAAAGAGTTATTTAATATACAAGGGGAATAGCCACCCCCTCCCCCTTAATTATAACCTATAGGCAGTACTAAACTCACCTCAGGAACAGGGTCCAGCAGGGAGGTCTTCAGTCCAGGAATGACACTCGGCAGGTACGGTGACAAATCCTGAAATACATCAGAAAACAGTTCTGAAGCCATTTGAACACGTCAGTTTAAAGAGGTGGTCCTCAAACTGCTTCAACCCCAAAATGTCATTCATTCGTTTGATTTCATCCTGTCATGTGACTCCGACCACATTAGCAGGGAAACGCTTGAAGCTCCCAGTCCAGAACAGATAATCAGGTTAGAAATCAGGGGGTGATTCTGGACTCAGACCTGAACTTTAAAAGCCACATTAAGCAAGAACGTCATCAGATTTTTTACATCTAAAAACATTCAGAACCAGACTGAGAAACACAGATCCAGGCTTCCTCAATGAGTTTTGAACCAGCTGGGATCCAGCTGCAGAACACTCAGAGACTTTAAAACAACTCTAATGTCCATCTCTAACATGCTGGAGCCGAAGTAACCGGCTGGACTCAGAGCTCCTAGTCTCCTGCTGGGGCCCAGAGTCAGAACCGATCCAGGAGAGGCTGCTTTTAGTGTTATGATCCTATTCCTGAATAAGTGAACCAGGCCTCAGCTCTAAATGGTTAGGCTGAAACCATCTGACAACTGACAGTAATTCATCTGCTCTCTTCCCTTTAAATTCAATCAATAATAATCTTTTTGTTTTTATTTCTCTTGTGTGATTTTTGGATGTGATGCACTTTGAATTTTCTCACGCTCTTCAGATAAACTCACCGTATCTGTTTATATTTTCTCATCTTGAGCTTTAGGTTATAGTGTTTGTTTCTACCGACAGCAGACTCTCTTTTTCCTACTAATGAGTCCTCGGCTCCACTGATTGAGAGCCCCTGGTTTAAAAGATTAAGTCGGGCTCTGTGCACTTACCTTCTGGTCCGTCAGAGAGTACATGTTCCCGATGATCTGAGCGGCCATCTTGCGGGTGTCGGTGGAGCGATCTTGGAAGGCTCTCTGGACGATGGGCATGATGAGGGCCAGGGAGGGGGCATCGATGAAGTGCACAAACTTGGTGTCCAGCAGTGTCTGCAGACAAGTCGAAGTCTTCTTGGATGGATCCGTCAGGGCATCCAACAGGATAGGAGTGATGGCTGGGAGAGGAACACAGGCAGAATACACTTCTAATGGACACATTTTCCAGAGACCAAGAGTGGACTAAAACCAGCCTGAACAAACCATTTAAATCACAGCAGAACACCTAGAAATATTCAGTCAGTTTGTTCCTTTTCTTTTTAGATGTTTCTTTGCTTCAACACTCCCACTTTAGGCTGACTAAATCTACTAAAGAGATGTTTAAGTTCTGCACAAAAAGTCAAAAGCCTTTTAAAGCAGGAGCAGTAATTCCGGCGGCATACCCAGGATTTCGGGGTTGCGGATGACGGAGCCGATCTGTCGGAGGGCCTGCTGGCCGGCCTTCTGCACCTTCACATGGGAGTCGGTCAGCACCTCCGTCAGCTTGGGAACGATGCTGGGAAGGCAGGAGGACAGCTGCTTGGGAGCGCAGAAAGCCATGGCGCCCAACAGCTCCACTGAGCCTGGAGGGCCGAGAAAAGTGAGTCACAGAGTCTGTAAGCAGCTGTCACAGATTTCCCACAGAAATGAAGAAAAAGGACCACACAAGTGGTAGCAATGTGCTGAATTATGTGTGTGTTAGGACTTGTGAATGGGTCAGAAATGCAGGAAACAGAATAAACTGGTTAGAAATATCCTCCTCACCTGCTTTCGTCCTCCATGACTCTTCCTCCAGTGCCACCAGCAGGGAGGGGAGGACCAGTTTCACCCCGTGGGCACTCAGGTTCCTCATCACAGCTTTGGCACAGTCATCTGCAGCCTGAGAGAGGAGCACACAGGACGATAAATAAAACATCCTGACATTTTTCCCCTTCTTTTTCCTTTACCTCCAAAAAAAAAGAAAGAAAAAAAAAGACTTCTCTCCTCTTGGAAGCAAACAACACAATGCTGTCCAGTTTATGCGAGCAGGTGGGATTAAGGAACACCTCAGACTCAGACACGGTGCATTTAAGTGCTAATAGAAGGCTGGGACATTTGGGATTGAACAGATTTGAGTTTCATATCAAAGTTTTGTGTTTGCCAAGTTGTAAAAAAAAAACTTAAGTGCCAGAAATAAACCTTGATTTAAAGCTTTTGAGGAGCCTTTGTGAAGAGGAGGTGATCACATCTGTGATGCTGGAGGTAGAAATCTGTGTATGAGAAATACAGACTCATCGGCACCACCTGTGCAGAGATGCTGGCAGCTTCACCTGCCCAGCGAACGCTCACCTCTCGGACATACTGGTTTCCATCTCCGAAGCACAGCAGGAGGTGCGGCAGCACGTGCACCACGTACGGCTCGAACAGCTTCCCCAGCATGTTGCACAGCATCTCAAAGGCAAACAGGGCTCCTGCAAAGACAGGACACTGCTCAAAAAAGTGCTCGTCTTGTCGAGCACCGACCTGTTTCACAGCGCACAAACCTTCTCTCCTTCTGAAGTTCTTCTTGTCTTGGATGGCATCGGTCAGCGTGGTCATGATTTCCTGCTGCTTGAGGGCCAGTATGCCCAGGCCTTTGACCAGTCCAGCCAGCCCGTACGCCGCCCCCTTCCTCTCTGCATATTTGTCGCTCTCAAGCAACAGCTGCAGGAGGTTTCGCACAATTCCTGCCGCGTCCTCTTTGATGGCCGGGACCAAAGGAGGCAGGCAGCCGGCAACAGACTCCTGGACCTGAGGTGGGATTCAAATTCACATAGCAACGTCGCAAACTCCTCACTTGTGTGCAAATTACATTATTACATTAATATTTTTCATATTGAACTATTTTAAATTGGTTCATTCGGAAATATCATCCTTTGCCCTCGTTGAAATAATCAAATCTACAATATATTTCTTCAAAAGCTGTAAATGACAAAAAGTTGATCAGCCCAAAGAACGAGTAATTTATTCCCTTGAGCCAATATGGTGACTTTCAAGAGGGCTTCCAGACAAAGCCTGAAAGAAAGCCCCCACACACTTTTCTGCTGGGGTGTTCAGATATGTCATTTGTCCTTTTGGTTTCTGGAGTAAAACTCTGTCCTGTTACTTTTGACTGCGCCTGCAGTAGTTGTAGTTAGTTTTTTTTTGTTTTTGTGGACTGATCTTCCTTTGCCTCATATTGGAATCTCAGATATTTTGAAATGGACCTCCTGTTTTGTTATTTTATGTAAACTGTGCTCCCTTTAAACTGTTTGGTTCCCGTTTTGTTGTTGTCTTTTTGTTTACTTTGACTTTGCAAGTTCTTGGGTTAAATCAAAAGCAAAAAACTGTGTTGTGTGCTGGGAGTTTTGGGTTTGCTTGCCTGCTGTGAGGGTGTAGACAGGGCAGTGATGAGCTTGGCCACAATGGGTTTGACTTTGGGGTCGTTTTTGTCCAGATGCTTGGCTAGGGATCCCATGAGAATGACAACGCTCTGACGGACTGCGTCGTAGCTGGCGTCCTGCGGGGCGTTCTTCAGAAACTCCTCGAACACAGGCAGCAGGGAGCTCACGTTGTCCTGACGCAGACAGAAGAAGAAGAAGAGGAGGCGTGAGGCGCCACAGAAACGAGGTGAGACGGCTGAAAGACCAGAGCCAGCAGGCACTACCTTTCCATGCGTGTTGAGCGCTGAGAGGGCGGCGTCCAGCATACAGCGCCGCACTTCGGCGTGGCGGTCGTTCAGGGCGTCGGGGACGAAGAACAGGAAGAGAGGCGTGACCTGAGACTCGCTCAGGTACTGCGAGAGCTGGTTCAGAGCCAGAGCGATGCCACACCTGAGCCAGTGAGCCAGAGAAGAAAAAGGAGGAGAAGCAGCGATTGTTACAGACCGGAAACAAAAAGACGGCTTTCAGAGTGCTGCTCTCTCACCTGGCCTCCCACTGATCGGGGGGAGCTTCAGAGATCACTCTGCCGAGGGCATCCAGCACTGGGGGCGGCCTCTGCAGGGAGGGACGGGGGGGCAGAAAACCTCGGTCGAAAAGCTGTTTCAATGCATTTTTACGCCAACGACTATCAGTTTTATTTGCCTTTTACCCAATGGGTCCATAAAACCCGGTCTCGCTCCTCTCTGACTGAAAATGAATTATGTTCATTGTAAAAGAGGTAATATTCAGCAGTGAACCACACAGTTAACGCTCTATAATCCTGTGACTGTCAAAAGAGGTTCAATCTGAAGGATTTAAATGCTGCTCGTAAAGAATGCTTCTCCTGAACAGAGGCGTGTTGTTCAAATATGTCCAGAAGAGCATTTTCAGACTCAGACGCTAAAGGTTAGTAAGCTGAGTGAACTGGCTAAATTTGATCATATTCCTTTAAAACAGTGATCACTGCATTTTCTGACAAACTGCAGTGACTTTGGTGCCTGGAGTCATTCTTGTCTGGCCACCAACTGTACCCATTATGAGGATGACATCACTCCTGTTAGAGCCTCACTGGACAGGATGTCTGCTCATTTTAGGGTTAATTTGATTTGTTTCTTCCTTTATTTGATTTTTAAATATTTAAATGCCCTCTCCCTGCCAGGAGAACGAGAGGGAGCTCATTTAATTTGTTCTACATCTTCTATTCATAACTGCCTCTTTTAAAGGTGCTCCATAACTAAAGGTGGATCCAGTAGTGTGAATCAGGCCAAAGCTTACATAAAGCTTCTGATGATAGAGCTCGGTCAGCTGGGCAAGCACTGACGCCGACTGATCTGTGTACTGGGACACGGCGCTCGACATAGCCTCTGCGGCCGCTGACCGGATGGCCTCTTCGTGGTGAGTGATGTCTCCAATCAGCAGAGGGCAGAGCTCGGGGACAAGCTCCAGACCCAGGGACTCCCAGAGTCTGGGGAGGGACAAGGAAAGCACATTTCAAACATAATAGCTTCTCAAAGTGCTTTCCAATTGCATTATATAAATAAATCAATTTAAAAATGAACATTTTAATGTGTGATTGGACATAAAAGGGATTCAAAACAAAGAACAAGTCAAAACAGAGCAGTAAATTCCATTAAAGAAAGTTTTGACCACATTGGACTGTCATTCTGCAGCATTTTCATCGATTTGGTCCAAACTGGAGGTTCTGCCGAAAAATTTCAGAGCCCTGCTTTGTTTCTTTTCTTTTTATTTATTTTTTTTTTTAAGATTTTGTTGACTCTAGTGGCCTTTAATGATAGTAGCTGGACAGGAAGGGGGGCAGAGACAGAGAGGGGGAGACCTGCGGGAAAGGGCCGTGGGCCGGATTCGAACCCAGGCCCGCTTGCGAGCAGAGGCTCTGCATATGGGCCGCCCGCTGTAACCGTTAGGCTAAAGCTGCGGCCCCTGCTTTGTTTCTAATCTAAAAAGATCAGCAATGTATTCAGGTTCCTTGTTATTCAGCGATCTGTAAAGCCTGTAACTGGCAGCCAGTAGGAAGAGATCAGAACAGAAGTGATGAGCTCAGTTTTTCGGCTTCTTTTAGGACCCTGACGGCAGGTTCTCGAGCAGCTGACTGTCAGACTGGCTTTTTTGGAAGAGGGTCTCTCCCTTTGGAGGTTAGTTTGGGCTGTTAAAAAGCTCTTTTAGCTTTCACACATTACATTCCTGACCAGAGCAGAACAACCAAAAAGGAGGATTATTTAAACAACGTGTCCTCGGCCCCCCTTTTACTTACTTTTCAGCCAAGGCTCGTCCTTCTGCCTCAACATCAAACCTGGCAACCCAAAGCCTCCGAAGCAGGCTCATTCCGCTGGCCTCTGTGCTGTCTGTTGGCAGCGCAAACTCCATTTCCAACAAACCCTGAGCAAAAATAAGCCCCAGCAATTAAGGTGAGTACAGAGAAGCGGTTTCAAACCCTCCAGAGTGAAAAAAAACATGAGAAAGCTCACCCTGAGGGCGGCGTCCCTGACGGAGAAGCAGGGTGACAGCAGGGCATTGAGTAGGACGTCGATCTCCTGCTGCTCTGCGAAGGTGCAGCCGTCTCCTCCGCCGGCGCTGGCACACAGCGCTGTGAGGCACTGAGAGGCCAACACCTGAAACACAGCACCACATTACAGAGTCAACCTTCTACCATCTAAAGCATGGCTAGAATCAGAGGAATAGAGTCTAAACCAGACCCATAGAGACTGATTCATGCGTTTGTCCCCCAGCATGTTAGACTGCCGTAACAGCTGCTCACTTGGCTCTAAACCAGCTGTGATCCAGCTGCAGACCATCCAGAATGCTGCTGCCCCAGCTATTACCAGAACCAGGAAACCAGACCACAACATTCCAGAGTTCAAGTCTCTGCTCTGGCTTCCTGTCACTCAGAGAACAGACTTTAAAACAGCTCTGCTTGTGTTCAAGTCTCCTCATAGTCTCAACCATCTCTGACATGCTAGAGCCGAATTTAACCAGCTGGGACTCTAAGAACCTCAGGTTCTGGTTTCCTGCTGGGGCCCAGAGACAGAACCAAACGATGAGAGGCTTCATTTCAGTTTTATGCTTCTAAAATCTGCATCAGTCTTCCTGAAGAGGCGACACAAGCCTCAGCTCTGAATGTTTACCTTTGTAAGTCGCTTCGGATAAAAGCGTCTGCTAAATGTATAAACATGTTCAAACCCAGGCTGAAAACACCAATTCAACTGAATATATTGGACCTGCACTTTTCACTTTTAATCCGTTTAATCAATGAGTGTTTTATTTTGTTGAACTTATTTTTCTTTATTTTGAGCTTTTAAAGTCTTTGCAAAGCACGTTGAATTGACTTATACACCAAATGTGCTTTAAAATAAAGTTGCCTTGCCAATGGGACAAAAACAAAAAGGGCGGACCTAAGAAGCTAAATGCTCCCATATTAGGAGCATCTGGCTGGAGCGTACCTGCAGTCTAGGTGTAGATGTGGAGATGATCCTGGTTAGCAGCAGCAGCATGTTGACACGAGGGAGCAGCTCTGGGCCGTTCTAAGACGAAAAAACAAGCATCAAGCATGAAGTTCTGCACCATTAAGTTCTGCAAGTCTTTATTTATGTCTTTATTTCTGTTCGGAAAATGTCAACAACTACTACTGAGCCTGGAGCCACATTTAGCTTTGATAGTGTTCATTTTGGAGAAATCTGCCCTTGTGTTCGGGTCCTTGTGTTTGGAGCCAGACGTGGTCATTTGGGGCTTATTTTCTGTGATCTCACCTCAGATCCAAGAGGGTTGTCTGCCCCAAACCTTCATGTTTTGTCTCATAGTGACGCGGTTTCTGAACATTTCTCTACCTCTACAGTATCATCTTAAAATGTGTAACTGGACTCCATCTCATCCACAGTTTTTAAAACAAAAAAGATTTACACCAGTTAAACGTGATCAAATGAAGAAACCAATGTTGACATGATCTTCTTTTAAAAAATAAAGATCAAAGGTTGATTCAGTAATGAAATCCATAAGTGAAACAACACAATGCAGCATCCTCAGATTGATTAGAATTTTTTTTTTAAGCAAGAACTAAAGATAAACTTGTTCATTGTAACGCGCTGAATTAAGATAAAAATCCAAAATGCTGAACTAAAGAAAGGCGTCACGAAGGTTGCTGTCCTGCACATTTTCGACATTTCCCTGCTGCTTCCCAGCTGATTCAGTTAAATGGAGGAAGGCTGATGTCGCACTGATGTGAATCGGGTGTGTTGGGGCAGGGAAACATCTTCAACCTGCAGGACGGCGAACCAAAAGAGGACACCAGAGGAGCAACAGGCAGGTTTGGGCCCACCTCGTCTATCGTGAGGTCGTCGCTTTCTGTGCTGGCCCGCAGCTGGCAGTGTTCGTTGACGACCTGCAGCGTGCGGATCATCAGGTTCTCCGCCTCCTCTGTGCTCCCTGAGGAGTCCCTGAGCGTGGCGTTCAGCAGAGGGAAGCAGAAGGAGAAGGCTGGGGCCGACAGTGGAGCCACATCTGAGGGGATTATAATTATAATTATTATTTGTTGCCAGGTTCAAATAAATCTGAATGGAGGCCTTCACAATCACTTCTGTAGCATAAAATATGCATCAATGAAACTGTTACTTCAACCGATCAGATTTCGAATTGGCGGCACCAGGGCCCTCTAGCAGGTGACATCCGCGTATTCTCATCTTCTGATAAAACAATAGAGACCGGACTAGCTACAGCTAGAAAACTGCATCTGTAGCTGTCAAAAGCTTTATAGTAAACCCACAATTACCAATTTGGTGGCAGATTTATGGTGAAAGCATTTTTTAAGATGGAATTTTCGAGAAAAGTTGGACATCCCTGAGAAAGGTCAGGCAGATCTGAAGCTGGCCAAGCTGTCACATGCGGGGAAAATAATTTGTTTGCCACTTTCAGCCGACCATCTATGAGCTCAGGCTCTGAGAAACATCACCATGTTCACTGCTTCTGTCAAGATAACATTTTCAGCCCTAAAGCAAATTAAAAGTAATGCCAGGAATACGACTAGCTAGCTCCATTTTCAGCATTGACGGCAATAGAAAATTACTTCTTGATGAATCTGCAACACAAACATAATCTGCACCACAGAGTAATTGTACTCCTCCAGAGGAAAAAAAGCAGGATGGATACAAATAGGATTTTTGGTGAGTAAATTGTTAATTTCCTAAATTATGTTAAACTTTTCTGCATAACTAGATGTTTTTTATAGCCTAAAATGGTTGTGAAGTTGTGAAGTTATCAGACGGGGCACCACTGAAGGCCCAGGTGTGACGTGCACGGCCTGGCCGACAACTCTACCTCCGGTCTTGCCCTCTCTCTGAGGGACGGTGTAGTTGTACAGCAGCAGTACTGTGCGGTGGGCTGCCGTGTCCAGGTCCTCCTGCTCCCAGGCAAGGTCTAGCTCACACTCAGGCTTCAGCAACCGCAAAGTCACATGGCCCACCAGGACAGCTGAGAGCAAAAAAAAAAAAAAAAAAAAGGGAGAAATAAAATTTAAAAAAGAGTGAGCTGAAAAGACAGGACTGTAAGCAAACCTAGAGCTGAACGCGTACCCAGATGGTGTAGGTGGCTGGGCATGAGGCTGACCCCGACGTCCAGGAAGACCTGCTGGACTCGCGGGGCGGCCAGAGGGGAGCGCAGCAGGGGCAGCAGCACCTGGAGGACGGCTGGGAGCTCTCTGGTGACCTGAGCCGGCCTCTCTTTCAGGATGGCTTTCAGCAGGCCGAGCATGCTCTGCAGCTCCATGTCCATCTGCACACAGAGAGGTCAGCATAGACAAAACTCCCCAAAACGACCCAAAAATAGGTCAATTTAGCAGTTTCATACCCCTTGAAGTCTCTTGCGAGTGGCAGACTCTTTTTCCAGCTGGATTTGCATCATTTCCTTCTGCTTGCTGGTTAGCTGCACCTCATCTTTGATGCCTTTTTTCTTCTTTAACTCCTGTGAGATTCAAAGGAAACGGACAGTTTGTCAAACAGATCATCTTTGGCTTTTTTTTCACACATTTGTGACTGGCTGCTGGTAAAGAGCCAAAAGATACAATACAAAGTCAGTTTTTCTAAGCTTGCTAATATTTGTGGACACAACACTGGTTTCACCTTTTTGATTTGGACTTTTTAACCTTCAGTGATACGCAGATTAAATTTAAATGAACAAAGAAACTAATCCTAAAAGAATTTATTGAAGTCCGGCTGATTGGAAGCTAAATATAAAATTGAGGGGAACATCAGGCCTTGAACGCTATGGTAGAAAAACATAAATACCGTTAAAAGCCTGGTTCTGAGTGGAAATAAGCACCATTAGACCAAAAATCCATGCTGGTAGTGACTTTTTAATATATTTACAGTCATATCTGCTAGTTTATTTCTAAATATACGAATGTTAAAAAAAATAAAATAATAATCAATTTTTTGGGCATATTTTTTCTCAATTGAAGGATTTACCTCCTGTAACTCCAGCTCAATGATCTGCTCCTTGTAGGAATAGGCCTTATTCTCCCTCTTCATGTTGACCTTCTTGGTGTTTTCCTTCTGAGCACTACAGAAAAAAAACAAAGAAGTATGCATCAGACCTCCTGGAGACGCCCGGTTCAGATGATCTCAGCTGCTTTCGGCTGCGCTCACCTCTGGATGATGCTGTTGTCATACAGCTCCCCCTCTGGCGTCTGCATGATGTCATATTCTTCCCTGGTGACCTGGAGCAGGGCGGGCTGGGAGAGCCCCTCGATGACGTGGCTGACCACCCGCGGCAGCAGCTTGTTGGGGGAGAGCCCACAGAGGGCACCGACTGCATTTTTCACCGCCTGTGCACAGAGCAGCCGCACATTAAAGCTCTTTTACCATCATTTATCATCACCCAGTAAAATCCCAGAAGGGAGTTTAAATCTTTCTTTCACCTGTGACCTCCACCAACCCTCTTTAAAGGAAGTTTTAGAAAGATAGAGGCTGAGTCAAAAGTAAGAGGACCCCGTTTTCTGTCAGAACAATGTAGTCATGTAGCATATCAAAGAATGAAGAAGAAAGAAGCAGAATTGTCTCAGAATTCGATTGCAGTGATCCGATTTGATACTAATCTTGTGGGAAAACTGGAAACACTGAACAGGAACAGCACATTGAGCATGTCAAATAGCTTTAAATCACAAATCTGATTTGAACATTCGATTTTTGAGACAATTCTGCTCTTCGTTGATATCCTACATGACCTCCTCCCCTTTGGGAAAAACGTACGTTTTATCCAATACGGCAGCTTTCAAGATGGCAGCCATGTTCCAGACACAGCCTAAAAGAAACGCCACCTCATCTGTTAATTCTGGGGTCTTCAGATGTAATTTGCCCCTTTAGATTCTGACAGAAAACAGTGTCCTCTTACTTTTGACTAATCCTGTACAGTTTATTCTAAACAGATAAGAATGGACAGACAAACCACTGCAAAGCCCTTTAAATTATTAATTTAACCCTTCCAAATCCTAAGAGTTTTATGTTGGTTTATTACAAATCTGGCAAAATGTGTGCTTCCTATAAAAAGGAAGTTTGACAAATAATTTAAAAAACACCAGTAGATGTAATAATAAGTAGCTTATCAATGCTTTTTTAATCTTATCTGTCATTTGGTGGATTTAGATTGAAATTAGTGAGAGAAAAGGTGATAACGGTGTTTCTGAATGGGAAAACTGGAGTTATTCTCAGACCTGGCTGTCAGAATTGACCTCCAGCAGATGTGGCAAAATGGCCTCCAGATTCTTTTCGATGAATTCTTCTGCCGTTATGTTCATGGAGGAAAGCAGCAGAGGCCAGAGCCCCCGGCGAGCTATAACTGGAGAGAAACGAATGAGAAAACAGCTTCAGTGCATCAGCTGGACGAGATGAAACTGTCAGAGTCTGGAGGTTCTTAGTCTATACCGATGGAGGGGTGATGGGTGACTATGAGGATGTCCATGGCCAGGCTCTCAGCCTCCATCGGGTCTCCCCACTGGCTGGCTGAGGAGCAGATGGCGCACAGCGCGTCTAGTAGGACTCGAGGGGTAACGTAGCCCCGACCCAGCTCAGTCAGCTCTCCGGACTCTGAAACCAGGGTGTCCTGGGGCACAACCTGGCAATTCACAGTTAGATAAAACATCAAAAAGCAGCTCTGAAGCAGCCAGGAAAGCCACTACTAGGAAATGGCTCCGTCCCAAACAGCAACGTTAAATAAGTGGTTGACATAATTGAGATACATATATATATATATATATATATACCATATAAGACATTAGACATATGTGACACTTTCAAGCTGATTTAATATCAGACTGCAACAAGGCAAGTTTGAGGAAAAATGGAGCAGTTGGATTGAGTTTACCGCAACTGAGAGGGAAGATTTTACTTAAATCTGATGTAAATGCTGATTGTTTTGTATTTTCATTTATGTATTTATACTGATGTACATCAAAGGCTCACCCCTTGAGATATGTGTTACATTTAAGTGTGAAAATAAAGGGAAAGAAATGTGAGGTATCAATGAGAAAGCGGCTTGTACTTTGTGTTTGTTGAGGACCACCCGCAGTTCTCCCAGGAGGCCGTGGGCCAGGCTGGATCCACCCAGGGAGGAGAGCAGCTTGCGGACAGTCTGCTGCGCCCGCTTCCTCACACGCCAGCTCCGAGACAGCAAAATGGCCACCGTGGCGTGATGGTACATCCTGCACAAAATTCACACACGGTGTTACTCTATTCTGGGGAAAAAATCATTTGTCTTTGTGACAGGCTCCTGGTTAAAAAAAGCCTAAAGATCCTGTTTAAAGTCTCAGTTTCTTGTTATTTGTTGACACAACACTGCTTTATCCCGTCTTATCGGGACTCTTTAAATTTGTTTTAAAAGTTGGTTAACAAACAAACTCCTCTTATGTCAATAAAAGATAATCATGGAGGCTTTTTTTAAAACATAAAACAATCACTGAAGGAGATTTTGTGGTGCCATAAAGCAAATGGATAACAGACTGACTCACTGTGACTTGCTAGCGGTCAGTCTGTGGGAATGGTCCAGAAACAGCCTTTCACAGAGCATCAACACTGTGAGCAGAGCTACAAACAGCCAGAGGAAACAGCCCATCATCATCACATCTCATTAGTGTTTCACTGAGTAAATCCGCTCCATCTAAAAGGGTCTTACTCTCTTCGCTGGCCTGGGAGAGGAACTTCTCTGTGGTGAATAGCGGCTTCTTTTCATCCAAAATCAGGTTCCAGAAGCTGGTGAATTTAGTCTCTGCATAGACAAAAGGACAAAGCCATCATCTCCCATTCCCGTTTGCTCATTGTCACCTTTGGGGCTCCAGAAGCCTCACCGGTTTGCGTCTCCAGCAGAGCCAATCGACTGAGAAGAACCGAGGCCACTGCACCCTCCGCCAGCAAAGCATGCTGAGAGTTCTGGGCCACTGCTTTCTCAACCACCTGGATGAGCAGGGCCATGAGGTCTGAGGCTTGGGCTAAAGTGTCACCTGCAGCAAGAGGACGGACGGGGTTAGCTTAGGAGGCCCGGCCTCAGAGCATGGCCCAAACAGGAGCCCCCTTACAGAGACCCACCTTTGAAGGCCCCCAGCATGGCCTGCAGGTAGGCGTGCCGGACCAGAGAGGTGGAGGTCTTCAGAGTAAAAGCCTTTTTCAGCCAATCCAGCAGAGCGGCGGGAACTTCCACAGTGAGGCGGCTGCTCCACTGAGAGAGCACAGACACGGCATGCACCAGGGTTCCCTCGTGGACTAACAGGAGAGAGGAGCGTTTAAGGGTTAAACCAGATCCAGGAACAGGCTGGATATTATGGGGGGACGTTATTGGGGCGGGGGTTTAGACCAGAGCAGGTACCTTCTTGTTGTAAGTATGGAACAAACATCACAGTGACGGCGGAGCTCAGAGTCTGGCTGGAGGTCCCTGACACAGCGTGATGGCTGCAGCTGGAAATCCCTTTAAAAATAAAGAAATAAAAGCATGTCATTCTTCAGAAAGAGTTTAATTCACTTATAAGTCGCATTAAAACTGGGGTATAAACACAAAGTACAAGACCTGGAGGGAGTTTTCCTGAAAAAAGCTGACATGTTTCTTTATTTTAACATAGGGCCAGAGCGCCGGATCCAGACCACCCATTTTTTAAGGAACTGTGACGAAAAACCAATGTGACCCCATCAAAAGGCAAATGCACGGTTAATAGTTATTATTGAGAGTTGGTTAAAAAGATTTGACAAAATCTTGAGGAAATGTAAATGATGCAAAGGATGGCAACTACAGGAAGAAAAAGGTATAAAACTGACACAGAAATTAGGAGTTTAGGTTTTGCATTAATCTGTTTTTTTTTTTTTTTGGCCTTATAAAAAATAAAAAAACTTTCATAAAAACTAATGCAACGAAAAAAGTGCTGATTCTCATGGCTGGTGATTGTCAGTGAATGCGTCTCACCTGACAACACGCTCATTTTTTGGGCCACGACTGTGAGCTTCCCCTCAGATCCTGCAACCAGAAGAAAAACAGCAACTCGTTAATCAGTTCTTTGTGCCAGCAAAACAAAAGAAGAAGATGGGTGATAAATTCACCTCCGAGAATCTTAAAGAGGTGCGTGACGACGTCCTGCACAGCACTGGGGTCGCTGCACTGCTGGGCCAGGTTCTGCATGCCCTGGACGGCTTCCTCCATCAGCTGGGCGTTATTGGCCTTCAGCTGGCCTGAAACAGGAGCCGAGCCATGATTAAAGACAGACTCCAAATTTGCGCGTAGCTGGTGGATTAGCACTTGGTTAGCGCCTTACTTGCGATGGCTTTTCCTACATCCAGAGCATACTGACTCAGATCCAGAGTAACGGCCGCCAGCAGGCAGGAAATTGCTAAAAGAGAGGCAAAACAAGCAGTTTAGCGACAGCCGGCTGGCTCGAAATGGGCAGAACCACAGGGTGCTGAGAGCCCTCACTCTGCATGGCATTCTCCGGGCTGCGGAGCATCGTCTTCTGCAGGGCGGGCAGCAGCAGCTCCTTGAACTCGGCGTGGGTCACATGACGCAGCAGCGAGCTGCTCTTGTCCAAAACGTGCTGCTGTGGCTTCGTCTTGCTCATGAGAACCGATTTGATGTAAAGCTCCAGCATGGCACTCTGAAAAGCAGCATAGAGGGAGTTCTTTTTCCCCAGTCGCTTCAAACCTGTGCCGGATTCACCGACAGATGAGACGTTTAATAACTTTGTGGCATGTCTGTCGTGACTTGACTGGACACCTAAAATATTTAACTTTTTCTTATCAGAGCTTTTATTTTTGGGCCGGTTGCCGCCTTTAGCTCTGGGCACAGCACATGTTCTCTGCTCCACCATTTCTATAAGCTTCTGCAGTCACTCAGAGTGAAAATGCTGTCTAATACCCCTGAACCATCCATACTTTTTCTTCCTCCGATCTGAGGTCAGGTCACAGAGGCAGCAGGTTCAGAAGGGAAACCCAGACATCCCCCAGCACTCACCTTGTGCTTCTCTATTGTCGCTCTGTCTTTCTGGGCGGTGCAGAAATCCAGACACACCCCTAGCAGGACCAGAGTGGTGGGGCTCTGCTCCAGGGTCAGCAGTGTGCTGATGTAATGATCCACCAGGCCGGGCTTCTGCGACAGATCAGATCAAACAACACAGCTGTTTTATCAGTGCGAGATGCCTCCCCGTCCTCTGAAACCCACCAACAGTTGGCCTTTGAGAGCAACCGGAGGCGGGAACCTTATAGTCCTGCCTCAGATGACCCTGAAGAACCTGTGAGGTATTTGCTGACCAGAGCCAAAATATCTGGGTGCTGGTGCCAGTTTTCGCTCAGAGCGCTTCACTCTGGGCTGCGGTCTTCCAAAAAGATAAAAAATAAAAATAATACCTACTGAGTGAAGGTGCTCACAAAGGGAATCTAAATACCGACACATGGCTTTCTTTCAGAAACTGTTTGAAAAGCACGAGAGAAATGTTTTTTAAAAAGTGCTTGACTTTGTAGAAATGAACTGGGAAGGGACAATGGTGCGTGTGTTATTTCTGGAGACCAAGTCCTTTTAAACCTGTGATTTCAGCTCAAGTTATTTGGTGAAGAAAGTGCTTAATGTCTATTTGACTTGGTCTATGTATTTGTTGTTGTTAAATAAGGGATTTTCTTGCTATTTTTGATAAATAAAAGACTTTTCTTTTTTAAAAACTAAAAGTTTACACTCTGTGAGGCTTTTTTTCTCCAGAAATCCTGTTCAGAAACAGTGTTAGAACACAGCTGATGAGACAAAACTCCCTGGCATTTCCTCATGGGTTTGGTGTGAGCACTGAGGCTGTATTGCTGGATTTATCCAGCATATGTTTATATGACCTTTGCACCTCATTTTTCCTATTTTTCAGCCCTTTAGCCTCTCCACCAGGTTGCAGCTGCCCCATTTAACTGGATATCTGCAGTACTCACCTCTTCCCAAAGGTGGCTGAGGTTCTTGAGGATGGATTTCGTAGCTGTGGCCTTGGCTCCACCCACCACCTCGGATACCAGAAAGCTCTGAACCTCCACCTGAGGGACAACAGATCACAGTGCTGGTACCGTGAGATAACTCCAGAGGACACTTTAAAGATCCATTAGTCTGTCACTTTAATCAGAAAAACTGACCATCTTCTTCCACACAGGTCCCTCTCTCTTTTCTGGCACAGAAAACACTTTGGGCACCAAAAGGCAGGTCCAGGACAAGCCGATGAAGGCGGCAGAACCTGTGCTTTTACTGCAAACGAGGGAGGAAAAAAATCAGCTCTCCTCTGCTGGAATAAGTCTAGTTCCCACACAGCAAAGGGCCCAGAGGAGTACCTGGGCTCGCCATGTTTGCTGATGACTCCGCTGTTCTGGAGGCAGTGCAGGAGGCTGGTTACCAGGACGTCCGGCTGACTCTCAGCCAGCTGGCCAATGACGTCGAGCAGCTCGCGGCGTGATACAGCATCCCTGAGAAGCACCAAGAGCGGAAACATTTCATTTCCAAGAACAGCAACATCATTGATGATAATGATTTTTTCCATCTAAATTACATCTAACTTATTCTATAGGAATAGGATATTAATATTTTGAGGTAATATAGCCATATTGGTTAATAGATTAGCAATAAAGGCTGACATTAATAAATAATATCAGCAAAAATATGAGTCATACAAAAAACAATACTACCACAGTATATAAAACATATCATTAATAGGAACTCTATTTCAAACCTCATTGACTAACCAATTATCCATAATAACAAGAATAAGAACATTTTCTCCAATTTTCCTTCCAAATTAATTATATAAGACTCTTTAAATTCAACGGCCACAGTGGTTTATAAATAAGACACTAAATAATAAATTGACTAATTTAATCCTTTTAACCGATCAAATGTAATTGTTACAAACAACAGCAAGAATAATATTAATATCATAACAATAGTTACCATTTCAATGAAGTGTAATTATAACTTTCTATGTAGTCTTATTAGGTTGGCTTTGTAGTAATTATTCAATTTAAACTAAATTTAAACTAAATTAAATGGTTCCAGGCATCACAGAAAGCTGGTGTGGGATTTTTACAGTGGCTGTTTTTTTTTCCCAGTTTGAGGCGCTGACATGTAATGACAGTTTTGTAACAAAAATTCTAAACTGTAGTTTTCTTGGCCTCAGTTGGAGAACTAAGGAGCAGATTTTTGTTTTTCTGTGAGATTACAGAGTAACAAGAGCGAGATCTATTTTCAATTGATTTTTATTTGAACTATCTATTAACCATTAATGTAGGAATTTGTTATGGATTACTGGTAAATTTATCTTTGTTTTTTAAAAAGAGATTTTAATGGTTGGAAGTGGAAGTGAAGAAATTGCGCGTTAAGCTTGGTCAGCCCTCCTGTGACTCACCGGTATCTGTGCGGGGTGAGGCAGAACAGCTTGCACAGTCCTTTCACAGCGGGCTCGGGCAACTCTGCAAGCAAACATCCGCAAAGTTAGAGCTGACCGAGCCGCGTTTCAAACCAGCACTGCAAAACACAGTGAACAGAGGGCCCTCACCTTTACTCTTCAGACACTGTTTCAGGTCTCCAAAGATCTCTTTCCGCTCTCTGATGCTAGCTGTCGTCACTTTCACAGCAAACTTCTTCAGTGTGTCTGAAACCTGAAAGAGTCACAACCAGGATGAATGTGGTCTGACAAAAAAATGCATTCAGCTTTTAGTGGGTGTCATACAAAAGAAAAGTCTGCCTTCAAAGCTGGACTTTATCATCTTTAATAGTTCTACAGGTTTTCTTCATTTTTTTTTTAAAGATTTTTTTTAGCTCTAGTGGCCTTTAATGACAGTAGCTTGACAGGAAAGGGGGCAGAGATAGAGAGGGGGAGACCTGCGGTAAAGGGCCATGGGCTGGATTCGAACCCAGGCCGCCCGCTTGCGAGCAGAGGCTCTGCATATGGGCCGCCCGCTCTAGCCATTAGGCTATGGCTGCGGCCCATTCTCCAGGTTTTCTAAAGGTTTTCTTTGGGCTCCCCAACACCAAACACTGAATCATTCAAGCCTAGAAAAGGGACTAACTCAAGGGATTGTTGTGTGAGCAGAACTGTTTAAAACACAGTTTAACTATTTAAAACTCAATCTTTGACAAAGATGTAATTTCTTTTTGTTATTTAGAAGCGTACATCTCTGAAAAATTCAATAACACAGTTTAACAAAGGGAAAAAACTATTTGGATCCACAAAAATATTACAAGAGGCAAATGACTGAAAACCTGCATGATGTGCATTGTGTGAGGAAATGGACTGAAAGTTGGTGCCAACCCCTATGATTGAAAGCTTCTGCAGGTGGCGGCAACAGACCATTTCCCCTTATTGATTGATCCTTTCTGTCTTATTTTTGGTTGCATTTACCTTTTGATAGAGCTCTCACCACTAAAGGCAACATGAAGCAGCATCTGCAACCCACAGAAGCTGTTCAGGTGCAACGCCTTAGCCAGGATGGAGCACATTACAGGAGACAGGGTATATGATGAAAACAGCCTAGCAGCTGGATAGGAGGAGCATTGCCAAACCCCTCCGAAATTACTTCCAGCAGGCCGCTAATGTGTATGTTTCTGCTCAAACTTTCAAAAACAGACTCCATAAGGGTGGAATAAGGTCCAGAGGTGAAACCAGTGCTCACAGCCCAACACTGTGATGCCCAAAGAACACAAGAATTGGTGGTTGTGCTTTTGTTTTCTGTGCATTTTACAGATGAGAGCAGGTTCACACTGAGCACAGGTAACAGTCTGGAGAGGGCATAAAGAACGTCCTGCTGCCTGCATCATCCTTCAGCATGCCCGCTTCTGCAGTGGGTCAGTGATGGTTTGAGAAGGCAAATCCTTAGAGGGCCACACGGGCCCCCCATGTGCTACACGGGATGTGATCCTAACATCAAATTTGCAAACTTCTCCTTACACAACCAGTAATAAGCTCTTTAATGAGCAGGCTTGTGTTTCTTGTGTCAACGTCTATTAAAATGCACACGTAAACAAAAAAAACGCAGTCAAAACTTATTTTGATGTGCTGGAGAATGTAATGCAATAGTTTCACCGGTAAAGATATTAATAATTGGCAATCAAATCTGTCGTGGGGTAAACCAAAAAACTTGACCCTAAACTGAGCAGCTCTTTGCTTAATGAGGGCGTGACATCACTAAAAATACTTTGCTGTACAACACTGGAAAAAAGCCAGAGGAGACTGTTAATAAGGTGACAAAATGAGAGTTTTACACAGCTCTCGTGAGAGTTCTGGTAAAAGTCGTTTGTCCAGGGAAGTCATTAGCACCTCGGGCTCAAGTCACACTGTGGAGGCTACGTAGCACTCCGCTAGCCTGCTAGCTAGCCGATGCTAATTTCAGCCCAATTTTCTCGACGGAGGACAAAAAATATCCCCACGTATAAAAAGAGACTAAAAAGAGATCTCCGATTTGGCCCAAACCCTACACAGTAGCCATTCTCACAGCAGCTGGCATGTTATAAAATATTCAGCCACACAAACCTGCGTGTCCGCTGCCATTATGCCGGTCCTGTTGCAGGAAGGACTTCTTCCGACCACTTCCGGGTCTAAAGGGCTACGTAATTCCGTCACCATGAACCCGATTCCAATTCTTTTAATTTATATTTACACTTTAAAAAAATATTTTTTCAGATAAATAGAAGAACCTTTTAAGAACCGTTTTCCAATTTATATTACAGGATAAAAGGTTGTTTTTAAAGTCACTAAACTTTTAAAAGTAGGCGCTATCTAATTCGGAAACAGTTTTATTCACACTTAAATGTCAATTATAATATGATACAATATATAACCACTATTCTATCTTCTTCATTGACATTATATTAGAAGGCAAATAAAAACAAAGGTGTTGCCACTTTTGGTGTAAAAAGCTTATCAAACATTTAACATGTTTGTTTTTTTTATGTACTCATTTAGCTAAACTGAAATTTAGGGTATCATATTTTTTCCTTAAGCTGAATCAATAGTTTTTTCACTCCTGTATTGCCAGCTTCATTCAATGCTATCCATCTGAGGGTGTAAAATCCCATCAACTGGAAGCTTGAAAAGAGGAAGAAGATTCATCTTTCACCTAAAAGACAATAATAATACAGTAGTTTTACTTTTTTTTAATTGTCGGATGATATTTATAAATATTTTGTTGTGTCATTAAATCAGGTTTAACAGAACAGTTCAATTCCATGTCAGGCTATTCCCACTCTGCCACAAGCAAGAATGTGTCAATGAAAGTATTACCTCTTAGAATATGGAATATCAGAGAGTTCTCCAGATAAGACAAAGACACACACCGCTAGAGAAAGAATTGAATTTATTCAAAGATATGATTGACAAATCCCCCCCCCCTTCCCCAGCACCACAAATTGAACTCCTTTATACAATCTAAGTGCCATTGTACTGACATAGCAGCATAAATCCCAAGAAAACGCATAGAAATTCTGGTCACACAAGCCCATTTACAGAGACAAAAACAGATCCAAGTCGTTTTTGGAATCTGGTTCAACCATTTCTGTACTTTAGCTTTGTTTGGCCAACCACATACAAGTTTTGCACACAACAAAAAAAAAACCTCTTGTTTATTGCAGAGACACGGCGGAAAAGAAATTTCACAATTTCCAAAGCATAAAAAAGGCACAATGTAAAATATGTAAACAAATGCAATCCCTTTGACAATCGCCCTAACTAGACATCTAAGTCTAAGTCTTGTAAGTCTATCGTTGTTGTCTAGCTCCACATCAGGGCCCCTGAATAGTTTCGGGATTTCCCGACAGACCATGAAGGGAGCAGAGGTTGTCTGGGATCTTTCTGACTCAGAGATATCAAGATTTATTTTATGGTAGCAGACCTTGGTTGTTACGTAATCAGGCTACGCTGGCAACCTGAAATAGAACATCTGCCACCAGGAGTCGCTGTCTTCCCAGAGAGTTTCTTTCAAAACCACAGATTAACTGTTTGTTACTTAAACATGATAATTCCATATTCAAACGCTTGTTAGAAACATTTCTTTATCTATTCACAGTATTCTTTTGTTAAAATCCTATATCAATAGTAACATTAGGCTACTTTATATGATTTTTTGCTGTTTTGGCAAATAATCTTTAACAAACCTAAGAAAGTTTCTCACAATTTGATGGCTTTTAGATTTATAAAACAACAAACTTTTTTTCTGAGCATAGCTTACATGGTTATAGTCACACTTAATAGCCTTTTTGTAAATTGAGTTGTTAATTATACCAAGAAGAAAAAAGTCTCATGATGTGAAGGTAAAATAAACTCTCTCAACATTAAAATAAAATCAAATAAACCAAAAGGAAGAGGCAGAACATTTTAGCTACAAGTCCTCGGTTTATTCATTTAGATTCTGAGCCCTTTAGAAATGCGGGGTTATTTGAAAATTCTGGCATCTGTTTTCTCTTCTGTCATCCACTGAATCATCTGTGAAATGAATTCAACAACAGGAGGAGTCAAATGATGTTTGCACAGAAATATTTCTTATATCTTCCTTTAAGAGGGGGTGGTGCCCAAGGACTTTTTATGCTGCTGTAAATTTAGAAAATCTTTCTTGTGGAGAGATTTAACATGGTCCATTCCATTTTTAAGACTTTTTCCACATTTCGGAACCTCTGTTATCTTTCGAGTGTGTGCTGGGCAGATGCCTTTAAAATAAGGAACAACAGCTTAAGAAACACAGCAGGCAAGTGCTTATTGGTACCATATCAAATAAAAACTTATTCTACAGAAGAGTGAGGTGACACTCCCATAAATAACACACGATCACAAGTCCCAAATCTTCAGCTCTTCTTTTCCTGGCCTTTTATCCATGAGCTTAGAAGCCTTCCTGGAGAGTCATGGAGCCACTTTGTTTGTCCTAAACACAGGCAAAGATTATAAGTCCCAAGATGACCAGTCCTGCCACCACTCCAATGCCTATGAACACCATTTTCATCTTCTTGTTATTCCCCTCTTGCTTTTGCTTAACCTGGACGCTCTTCTTTTCAAATAGTTTGCCCTGGAAAAAAACAGAAAAGCCAGAAAATTACATTATGTTCTCATGATATCAAAGGTCAACGTCAAAGGTGGGCAAAAAAGGGGACGTATGGCATTAAAATGACTGCCCAGAGCTTCAGTTTATCAGAGTTTCAGTAAAGTTTCATGAAGAAGTCTTCACACCAGCTAAAGATTCACATGATTACCAAGAGTATGTCAACAAGTGGGACCCAATGTTCCCTCATGACCCTGCTGCACACACAACGGTGCAGTTTGCAGAGCAACAAATAACAAAAAAGTGAAGGATAGAGATTGATATCAGGACTTTTTACATCGCACTGATTTTTAACAGAGGGAAAAAATCATATATTATTTTGTTGTTCAACATCCAAAGGAAATCTCTATGCATAGACACCAACATCACAAAAAAAACTCACTGACCAACACTTTTCTCCCATTTTCAGACATTTAGCCCAAACAAACATTAGCATGGTGGTGTAATTATGGTCAGCTGGTCTCTGTTAGTACTCTTTTGGAGCCAACATGAGACAGAAAAATTATTTGATAAAAAAATAATAAAACCAAAGAACCCTGGAAAGTCGACTAAATCAAAAACTAAAATACCAAAATACTTAAGAAACCTTCATGCAATGGGCCTTTTTTATACAGGTAAGTCTTGAGGCAGAACTAAACTTCCTGAGAAGTTTAATACATAAGAATAAATTTTTGTATTTAAGGGGTTAACGGCTTACTTTAATTAAGCAAAAGTTTTGAAAAAGTCATACAGAAGGTGAGCCAATATGACATTTCAAATGGAAACAATAAAACTATATTTATCTATGATAACTTCTATCTAAGGCTCATCGAAGCCCTATAAACATATTGGAAACATGTTTATTTTTTCCGTGTGGAATACTAACAAGGATGTATTACTATGTTAAAAAAAGATAATAAAAAATAATGCTTATTCAGTGTCAAATCACTTTAAAATGAGCCATTTATGTCCATTAGCATTCGTTGCGCTAACAGAGATGCTAACAGTTGCTTACACGTGAAAGCTAATAATTGTTAGCATGAGAGAGCTGCTATGTTACTGCCATAAAAAGCACACAGAAGTCCATTTATGGTTAAAGGGCGTTAAAAAGTGAAACGACTATTAGTTATGTATGCTTCTGGTGGGACATTTCAGTGTAGGACAACATATTGGTCAACAAAAGTGAAAACATCAGCAACAAACACAAAAAAGAGCATGGTTTTCCCTTTCAGACATTTCTAATGAAGAACACAGGTTGGTGGGGGGATGTCCAAGAGGCTTGTTTTCTCCTCCAGATGTTGGTAACTGTTCCACACAGCTGCTCCAATCACCTTATATACTCTTTTTCACCTTAGTTTTATAATATAATATAATATAATATAATATAATATAATATAATATAATATAATATAATATAATA